GTGTCCATCGCCAAAGCCCACGGGTGCAAGGACGGAAATCAGCGCTGACTCAAAGAGATCTCCTTATTTTGGAAGGAATTTTTATTTTAAAAATAAAAAACAAAAGCAGAAATTAGCCTTTCTCTGATGCTGGCTTTCCCTGCATGCAAGCAGGTCTGTCCTAGCAGCCAGGGGAGAAGCAGCCTTTGGAGCTGGATGGAGTACTTTTATTCTCAGTGGAAAGAAAATATTTGCCTTTACTTCTCAGAACCCCGCTGCCCTGGGAAAGCCGCCGAGGAACCTGCTGGTGAGAAGAGGGCCCGACCTCCATCTGCCCACAGATCTGGTTTTCAGGCAGTGCCTCCCTTGGAGTGTGAGGTGGCCTCTCCCAGAGGGGGCTGGGGACCAGGGAGCATCTTCCTCCACCCCCCACCCCCCACCCCGTGCCACAGCCCAGGGCCCCAGTTTCGCTGCTTGAGACCTTGGTCTGCCCAAAGCTCACTCAGTTCTTCCTCTGATGCCACAACAAGGCCACAGACAATATGCAGTTCCTGTAGCCAGTTGCCTCCTGTAAACCACCTGCTTGGTAGGAAGTGGAGCAGAGCTCTGGAGTCCCCGGTGCCACTTGGAGAATTTGTGGTTCCCTTTCCTGTCAGTAAACAAAGCCGCCGGTGAGCCCAGGGGCAGCCATTGTTTACAGGATGTTTGCTGTCGGAGGAAGGAAAGTGCCTGTGCCCGGGCCTGCCTATTGTGTGCGGGTCCCAGCATCCCTCAGGGTACCTGCCGGAGGAGAGATTGGACCACAGGATATGCAGAGGACTGACTTCGTGAATTCAAGTTGAGGGTTTTATAATGTGTCAGCATAAAAAGGTAGACAAACAGAAAGCCTTTTTGGAGAAAAAAATGGGTTTTAAAACTTTGAAAAATGTTGATGCTTTAGAGGATTGAATTAAAAAAAAAATTGTACAGGTTCATGCTTTGTGTGCAGAGATGCTTTCATGCCTGTGCGATGATGCCCCCCGTGGCCTCCCCAGGCTGCTGGCCGGTGTGTCTGGTACCACGTCTGGCTCCCTGTGTCCGTGCTCCGCCGCAGAGGCTGCCTGTCTCCGGAGCGTTTGCCAGCAGTTCCTACAGGAGCTGGTGGCCGGCAGGCGGTCAGGGAGCGTTGGCTGAGTGGATGGACGCTTGGTTGGATTTAATAAGCTAATAGAGACTGAAGCTTCGACATAACATGCCCAATAATATATTCTTTTCTCATCACTTCACGTTGGAAAATCCTTTGGTGGTTGTTTTTTAATTGTGGTAAAATATACATACATTTTATGATCTTCACCGTTTTTAAAGGTACAGTTCAGTGTGTTAAGTACATGCACTTTGTTGTCACCACCACCATCCATCCCTAGGGCATCTTCATCTTCCCAAACTGCCCCCATTGAGCACTATCCCCCCACTTGCCTCCCCGGCCCCTGGCAACCGCCATTCTGCTTTTGGTCCCTATGAATCTGACAACGCGAGGGACCTCATGCAAGTGAAATCCCACAGTATTTGTCTTTTGCATCAGGCTTATTTCGCTCAGCATAATGACTTCAAGGCTCTTCCGTGTTGTAGCCTGTGTCAGAATTTCCTTCTTTTTAAAGGCTGAGTAATATTCCATTCTTGGATGTACCACAGTTTATTCATTTGTCTGTGGATGGACACTTGGGTTGTTTACACTTGTAGCTGTTGTGAATGATGCTGCTGTGAACATGGGTGTCCAGTGTCTGTTCAGATCTGTGCTTTCAGTTATTTCAGGGGTATACTCAGAAGTAGAATTGCTGGATCATAATTCTCTGTTTAATTTTTTGAGAAGCTCGCCATACTATGCTTTGCATTTTTTAAGTTCAGAACTGGTTATATTGGATGCACAAGTTATGTCAGTGAGAATTTCCCCTCCCCTCCCCCTGCACACAATCTTAAATTCAGATACAGTTGAGGGACTAATAATAGTAACTCTTCATCAGCCGTTTCAGGGTTTCATAAAGACTGAGGTTGAAAATGGTGGGCCTCTAAAGTCAAGCCAAGGCTGGCCTTCCTCGTGGGTGACCCTGTAATTTCCCACTGTTAATATTGTGAGGGGACAAGGGATGTACACTGGGCTGTCTGGGACACCCTGCATGTTGGGTCTGTCTTTCATAGGGAGCCAAGTGCAGGACTTTGCCCGGACTTCGAGAAGCATGTGGCATCATTTCGTCCACGTTGCGCACTGCTCACCAGTGCATTTTGCGTCCACGTGGTGTCAGGTGGGAGTGGGGCCCCTGCACACCTAACCCCTAATTAGTTGGCAGAAATGCTCATAATTACTATTTTAGAAAACGGTGTGGTGAAAAGATCGTGAACTCAGGGGCCAGCCCAGCTTGGGTTCCCACCTGCTCTGTGTGACTTGCTGATTCACTTGGGGCCCCTGACCTGCCTTCTGCACCAGTCTCCTTCCAGGGGGTGGGAAAGGGCAGGTTTAAGGAGCTTGTGCTTTTGGAAATAACATGAGGCGTGTAGTTGCAGCCTGGGGTGCAATCAGTGCTGCACCCCCAGTGTGGACACCGCTGTTACTACAAAGAGCTGACACAGTTTCACTGGGATTATTGCCGAGATACCCACCGCAGCACAAGTGCTCAAAGTTGTGGTCTCTGCCCCGCCACTTAAACATTATTGAGGGTCCCACAGCGCTTGTGATTATTTGGTCTGTCTCTGCTGATGTTATATTAGAGTTCGAATTGAAAAGTGTATTAATTCATTTGAAGTAGACACAAGCCCTTTACATTTTATTATAAATAACATGCTTTATGAAAATCACTATTTTTCCTAACAAAGAAAAACAAATGCACAGCATTTGTCCTAATTTGTGCCAATCTCGTTACTCTTTGGTTGAAGAGATTCAGCTCCGTTCTCCTGCCTTTGCCATGACGTTACCCCCTGGAGAGAAGGGGAGTGGGAACAGTGAACAGAGCCTCGGTGTCCTTGTGAAGGTGGCTTTGACCTGGCAGCCCTGGAAGGGTCAGGGGGCCCCCCCACCCCCAGCTTGAAAGCTGTTGGCCAAGCATCCTTCTGGAGTCTGACGCATCTCTTTCTTCTCTTGTAGGGTCTTGCTCCTGGCTGTGCGAGTGGAACCCGCCTTTCTCCGAGAGGTAGGTGTCCTTACCCCAGATGGCACTTTGAGTTTCAAATTGGGCTTATGTGTCCCGTTAATGGTTTTTCCTTTAAAGATCTTTTCTGTTCCCCTTGGCTTAAGCTTTGAATATTTTGTTTTTTCACTCCCCACAGCAAACCTGGGTAAACATAGCTTTAACCCTGAAATTGCTTAAATCAGAAGCTTCCAGAGGAGTCACTAGCAAGCGCCTCGAGTGCTCCTTAATGTGCTTAAAAGACATGATTTTTAAGAACTGGTTTGGACATCTGTATGTGAGTGCCCTTTAGATTAAAGGGTCACCATGTGAGTGTAGTGGTGTGTAAAGGGCTGCATGAGGCTGCTGTCCCGGTGGAGGAGTGTGACGCGGCAGGTGTCCTGCACTGAGGGGCCATCTGAGCGTGGGGTAGGAGGACACTTGCCTGTACCCTTCAAAGTTCTCTCTGCTGGTGTAATAGTTAAATCTACATGAGACGGATTCACAAGAGAAAACAACCACATGTAGTTACGTATGTGCATATGGGAACCCCACATACATGAGAGGGTCCGAGACAGAAAGGGGAAATGCGTATGTATGCCATCCTGAGCTAAGGCCGAGGTGAGGCACCTGGGGCTGCAGCAGGTAGGAAGGTCATTGCAACAGGAAGAGCAGATGTTCAGTAATTAGTAGTCTGCTCTGCCCTACAGGGAGGTCATAAATGTTGTTTCTGGTGATAACTCTTATCATAATATGCAAGGCTCCTAATTTAAATTCTGGGTCATTAAGGGGAGGCAGAAGTTTCCCTTGAGCCCTCAGGGTCTCAGTTGCCTTTGGCTCAGAGGAACCCACATGCCACAGAGGCAGAGCTTGGGGTGGCTCATTCGGAACCTGACACGAGGACCGTGGTGGATGGAGGGCGTGCAGGAGGCCAAGGCTTCCTGGGTGAGGTTCACCCGGCTCTGCCCGGGGCCAGTGGTGTCACCTTAAATACCTTCCCGGACATAGAACTAGGGCAGAGGCAGCTGCTCCCTTCCTGTGTGTGCCCGCAGACACTGCGCTCTGCGATAGCAGGGGGTAGGGTGGCTTTGTGAAGGAGCTGCCAGGAAGCCACCATCCCCTGTCACATTTGGTCTCTGCCCTTGGATGATCCAGAGCACATTTCCACCTCTCAGCCTGTTTGCACACACGCACACGCACGCACACACACCTGCACCACTGAAGGATGTGTTACATCATGGCCCTTTACCCTTTAAGTGCTTCAGTGTGTATTTCCTAAAAATACCAATATTCACTTCGTTAACGATTGTTCAGTGATCAATTTGGGATAATTTAATGTTGATTTATTACTTCTACCTAATCTGTTATTTGTATTCCAGTGTTGCCACCTGGCCCTAAGTGTCCTTACAGTGTTGTTCCCCTGCCGTACAAGGTCCAGTCTGAGGTCAGGCCCTGCGTTTAGTTGTCATGCATTTAAAAGTGTTTAAGTGGATAAACGCTTGTAACAGTGACAAGGTGTGATTGGAAGAGGGAGTGGATCTCCATCGCACGTGTTCCTGTTACAAATTATAAATACGTAACATGTACATGCTGAATGGCCTAGTTGCGAAACTGCCTGCAGGAGAGTGAAGAAGAGGAATCCGGGAAACAGAGTAGGGAGACTCATCTGAAAAGACCGTGGCTCAGGAGACTTGGCCGCAGTACTCACGACAGCGTTGGAGCCTGTGTTCTGATGTGGAAATGACAGCAGCGGGAGGTCGGTTCCACTTCAGCTCAGGAAGTGAGAGTGATTACCTGGGTCTGTCCCTCCTGTCCTTTGTCTGCGCTGAGGCCAGGTGGTAAGTTTATGATGTCACTAGCCTCTGGCCAGCTGAGGGGCACCTCCAGCTGCCTGGAAACAGCTCTGGTGGGCCATTGTCCTTCACTTAACTTTTGGGAACAGTGGGGAAGTAGCTGGTCCCTGGAATGAACATTTTCTAGGTTTCCTCTCGTCAGGTGTGTGTAGCAGTGAGCCTAGAGATACTGTTTCCAGATTAATTTCTTCACAGCTCATTTTGATGAGTGAAGTCATTGGGATATTATAGAATATGGGACTGTAAACATTTGTGATACGTGCTTATGATTTTAAACATACTTCATTTTGTCAAAATTTGTTTAGTTTTTAAATTTATAGTTATATTGATGTCAAACAATACAGACTATGTAGAGCATAAATCCCCCCTTATAATCTCACTCCCCAAGGGCAATCACTGCTAATAGACCTTCTTTTAAATCTACATGCATACTTTTTTTAAAACCAAAACCAAAAAAGGGATTATTTAATACGTACTGTTTTGCCAGTTGCTTTTTTCCCCATTTACCAATATATTGTAGAGATCTTTTCATTGTCAACATTTAGGTACTTCCTACGTATTCTTTTTGATGACAAATCATTTTTTGTTGTGTGGGTATACTATATTTAACTAATCACTGTTAAAGGACATTAGGTGCTTGTCAGTATTTGGCTCTTATTAACAAAATGCTTGTATATCGACTTAAACAACTGTCAGCTGAGCTTTGGCTGGAAATAAATGACAAAGATTTAGTCAAGGGTCTTAGGATTTGCAAATCGGAAACATTAGTAGGTAATATTCAGAGTGTTCCGAAGAAGGAAGAAAAACTGAGAGTTCTTATAGTAAAAAGAACATTCTGGAGAGGCATCAGGAATCAGTCCTGCATTCATCGCCTCTGGATTGGTCCCAGATGGTGATTCCCCTCCCTAGATGTGCCCTGGCCTGGATCACGGATGTCAGGCTGTCTGGATGTCTGAACCTTCCTTCCTCAGTTCTTCATGTAAACATTCTTTCCCGAGTTCTTCAGAGTGTTTTCTAGGGGGTTGTGTGCAGCTCCAGGCAGTGACGCGGGGCTGAGGAGTTGAGAAGTTAAGTTCCCAGGCTAGTTAAAGCAAGAATGGAATCGCCTCCTCAGCCTACTTGGTTTGAGAAATTCAGCAGCTTGACTATAGTGACTTCGTTTCATTTCTTTACTCTTTTCTCACAACTGTCTCCTTGGGATAAATTCCCAGGAATGGAATTCCTGCAGAAAAGAAGACTCACAGCATTTGGTGGAGACTGTTAGGTTGCCCTTCAGATAGCTGTGCCCACGTATGATTCCTTCAGTGCCTTCCGAGCCAGCCTCCAGCCCTCACCAGCAGTGAGTCTTCTCAGTATGTGGTTTCTGATTTTCATTGTTTCATTGTTTTAATATTTATGTTCTTTAAAAAAAATTAATGCTTAAGTTAGGCACTTTAATTGGCCACTTATCTTTCTTTTGCCCACTTATCTTTTTAATTATTACATGTACTGATTTTTTTTAAACTTCTTTATTCTGGAGAGTAGGCCTTTGTCACATGATACAAACAGGTACTTTTGCAGATTCTTAGGTATTGTCTTCTTTTCCCCCCACTGTTGGGGTTGGGTGTGGTGTGAACCAGATGGACTCTTGAAGAGCGTGGAGTGGAGCAGAGCTGTGCTAAGACTCTGGCTGCTCTTCCCCGGTCTTTTCTCTGAGCTGAAAACCCATTTCAAATGGTTTTTTCTCTGAGCTGAAACCCATTTCAAATGCAGTCTTAACGTGGTTACAATTAGACCCAATTAAAGGCACGTCACAGATCTGTGCAACATATTTACTGTTGTAAAGCATGAACAAAGTTTATTTTGCTTTGGTTCTTTTATTTTCTCTGTCACAAGGACCTTTATTCTCACATAAGTTTACAGGTAAAGAGAACACTGTTTGTACTCTGTAAATTTTGTGATGGATCAGAGTCGAGGAGGTGGCACTCTGGCTCAGTGGCTGACTTGTTGCCTAATCCCATATAGATGACTCACCATTAGTCCTTGCTTTCCCATGGATGACACTGGGACTTGTTCAGCTACCCATCGTAAAGGCTTAGAAGCATATTTATCAGAGGATTAGGATATTTGTTTTGAGGGAGAAATCAATTATTATCATTAGGAGATTACTAAGAAAACTTTGGTCTGAGCTCCAAGCTCTTGTCCCTGCAGACATGAATGGGTTTCCCGGGATAGCTGATCCAGTGTGTTGTAGTGGTATTTTCCAGCCTTCTGACTTCTGGTAAGAGTTTTTAACTCCTTAGGCATTTTCTTATTAGAAAGGTGCTGTTTTAAAGCCTGGAATGTCTTGTTTCTCCTGCTCTACTCTCAACTTTACCTTCAATCCCCCACCTTTCTGAAATCAGAACTGTTGGCGGGGGCGCTAGGCTTTCTTTCCACCCTGCCCTTTTCACAAGGCCAGTGGAATTCTAGGACTGAAGGAACCTCTAGGGCCCCTGATTTATCTCCATTTACTTAAGACATTCTCAGACAGGTGCATTCCTCATTGTCCTGCCCAGGTTTCCGGAGAAACATCATAGTTACTGGGCCTCTCTGCTTGGGAAGCACCCTGGGGTGGGTGTCATTTGCTTGCTCATAGCCTCAGCAGGGGTATGTCCAGACCGGTGCCTGATCCCCAGCTCTGGTGCATGGACATTGGGAGGTGCACTGGCCTTGTACGTAAGAGGTCTGGGTGGCTTCACATCTGTTCTCTAAGTTTCTTTTTTGTTGCTTATCCTGATGGAGTTTAAAGGTGGGTTAACACAAACGTTTTCCAGATGATATTTCAAAACATTTCATTTCATATCCCACTGTCAGGAAGACTTAGAAGGGTCATCAGCCACCTCAGCAAATGACCTTCACGTCCAGATCAAGACCTCGGGGGAGGGAGACCGGGTGCTCCTTCCCCGGCATCCTGGAGGTGATGTAGGTCCCTAGTAACAATGGTTCATCACTGTAAGAGGTGCTCTGTGACCTGCCAAGGGAAACAGTGATTGCAAGGTGGCCCTTCCCTGTCAAGAGTCTGTACTCTGTGTACTCTCTATATACAGATAGTTCTGATTACAAATAAGGAACCCGAGGCCCAGGGAGCTTAAATGGAGCCCGGAGAAGCCAGCTGTCAGACGTCGCCCTGTGCCCCAAGAGCCGGAGAAGCTAGGCCATTAGGTAGTCATCTTACAGAGATTTCAGGGTGTGATTCTACTCTCTGCAGGCAGATATGAGAAGAGCCAGAAAGACGAGTTTGTACAATTATATTGATAACGTCTGTATATACATATATTGATCATTCATAAAAATGAACCTATTGCTATATTGTAAGACCAGGTAAATCCTAACAGAACATTAAGACTGTGTACAAGAATAGCATGAGACAGTTCTTGTATGTTCTGATACTCACATGAACGACCTACCCGTGGCCTGAAGCCCCACCCAAAGTATCCAGCCCCTCGAAGCACACTTGGCCTTGTGAGGAGTACACGCTGTTAGGTGCCGAGGGAAACAAGGGGATTGGCCCTGAGGGTCCTGGATGCTGGATCTTTTCCTGATTAGTAGAATCTTCAACTTAAGCAGCTTCTTAGTTTAAATGGCGATTCTGCACAGCCTCAGGAAGATGAATGTGACTAACGTGGAAGTCGGTATGTTAGGAATCGTCGTCACAAAGTATTTAAAATACAAGGCCAAACTTTGTCTTCTACGGTGTTATTGTTTGAAAAACATTTACAGCCCCGCGTTATGAAGATGTAATTCTGTATATTCCCTTAGAGGAGAGCTGCTGACAGGACCCAGCTCAGCCAGCGGGGCTTTTCGAGAAGCACACTGTAATTTTGTAGTGTAAGTCTCAGCACGCCTTGTTTCCTTTCCTTTGTTTGCCTTATTAAACATTTCTCTGGAGGAGCCCTCAGTGGAAGATTTCATAAAGGAAGCACTCACTGAGGAACAATGGTAGTGTAAAGATTTTGATTCTGAACTAAAATAACTGTTTTTCCTCGATAACACACTTTTCTTGGAAATTAGCCATGTGTCTGATGGGAGCCGAGATGGAACCATTCTGTTGTGAAAGTTACTCCAGACTCACACGGCCTCACCTTCGTGTGGTCCAGAGGCTGCAGGACCTTGGGTCCTTGGGCCCTTGGGCCCCCTTCCCACCCTGAGGCACCACGGGAATGAAGGCATGACCGTCACCCCTTCATAATGTTTGTTTAGAGAGACAAAGGGGAGCCCACGTGTGCAGTGAAATGTGCTGAGTTTTATATTTAATTACCTACTAACAAAGGTGGCAGGCATCTAAGATCGGGTTCTCTGATTCTCTCCTCTACTCAATGTCGTAATGATAATATCTCGCGGTTGTGAGCACTTTCTGTTGTGAGGCTGTGCTGAGCCCTCGGCCGGTGCTCTCTCCTGTGACCGTCTTCCTGTCCTGCGGGTGCCGGCTGTCCCAGGACAGGGCTGCCCAAGGGGCCGTTATTGCTGATGCCAGCACCCCTCTCTTAGCTGTGAGCCCTGCTGGCTCCCATGTATTTGCAGGAAAACCATCTGGCAAATGGACTTNACCCCTGCTGGCTCCCATGTATTTGCAGGAAAACCATCTGGCAAATGGACTTCGTGGAAGCAGTACGATTTAGTGACAAGAAGGCAAAAGAACCTCCATTTAAAATTGGACAACAACAGAGTCTGCCACCCAGGTTGTCAGATTGTTAATTTAATGTAACCTTGGGCAGTTTACTTAAGCTTCTATGTGCCACGTTTTAGATATTGGCAAAAAGATTTTTATCATAATTCAGTGAGGCAATGCTTGTTATAACAGATATATTTCCTTTTGATTTTGCCTGAAAAATCAGCCAAAGCCTGTAAGACACTGTTACTACTTCTCCCATCTCAGCTTTGTCCTGAACCCACAATAAAAATCCAGGGTAGAATTTTTTTTATACAGGTATGAGAGAATGCTAAATGCTAAATTAAAATTGGGGATTAAGGAGTGTTACAGTTTAGGTTTTAATTTTTCACATCCTTGTGATCTTATCTGACTCCCTTGGTAGCTGCCTGTTGTGACTTGAGTTTTACCGTGTCCAGTGGTGGTTTCCTGGGAAAGCAGTGCTGGTGGCCCGTTGGCTGCCCATCCCTTTCGGGCTCAGTCCCTGGTACTCACCCCTCCCTGCTGATTTTTGTTGCCTGCCTTAGCCTGGCCAGTGGGCCTTACTTGGCCTGACAGCCTTTGTTGTCATAAGCAGTGGTTCTCAGTGCTAGATAAAAATACCAGTGCCTCGTATTTAAAACTGATGTTTAAAAACTGAATTGGAAACTGAATTCCTGACATCTGTATTTTTAAACACTTCCCCACGTGGCTGTGATCGGCAGTGAAGGCTGAGAACTCTGCTTCGGTGTTGGGGAAACTCAGAAGGGGCCACGTTTGATCATTGCAATGTGATCATCCTCCGTGTCGCAGTTGGGGAGGGGGGAAAGGTCTCTAAAAGCGGCATCGAGGACTGCGGACACTGTGGCTCTGGTCCCTCCTGCCCCTCCCCTTTCCCGTATGGGCTGCAGGGTTTGCTGTGTTCAGACAGGTGAGGGGCCCGGGGGAACTCAGGGAGGTGACCACAGGGCCGTGGCTGGGCAGCCCTCGACGTTTGGTGCCCTCTTCCATTCCCTTGTCAACTGTCTGGCAGTGCACAGTGTAGGAATTATTTCTCCATGTGATCTGCCTCCCCAGCTGTGCTATTTTTAGGACTAACCCACACAATAGGTTTAGAAAAGGCCGTTGAACCTCCCGAGGCTGCTGGGTTTTGTCTGTGTTAGACGCAGGCTCTCCCGCCTCACGGTTCAGGCATGCAGGGGTTTTGTTCCTTTAGAAAGCGGCTGAGGGTTGAAGATGCAGTGGCCTGGCAGCCTGACAGGTGACGCCAGATGTCCGCAGCGCCCCGGTGTCCCTGCTCTCCAGACACATGGCTTCGCAGGTGTTCGCTAGGTTGTTAATTTTTATTTCGTCTTTTTCCTTTTAAAATGTGCTAAAATATGCACAGTGAGTAGTGCTGGGAAGGAGTGAACACGTGGAGCGTTTTCTGTTCTTGACTCTGCCCTCCGTCTAAAAAGATGTTTTATTTCACTGGGTCAGCTCCTCGCCTGTCTGCTGGGCTGTGTACAGCTCAAGCCAGCGCTAACTGTTACTTTAACTTTGTTTTAGACTTTGTTTTAGACTGTCCCAGCTTCTGGTCCATTCTCAGAAATACACATCCGCCCACTGGGAGACGAAACAGGAGGCTTCTCGTAGTTGCGATGGAAAAACCATCTCTCATTGTAGAGTAATGTGATGCTCTTAATGTGTCC